CCTAGCTCCGTATATTAAAACATACACTTCAGTATAATGAGATGGTAAAGTAAGTCTAGCTCTGTGTATTAAAACATACACTTCAGGAGAATGAGATGGTAAAGTAAGCCTAGCTCTGTGTATTAAAACATACACTTCATGCCAACGTAATGCACTATTACTGTTAACTCACATCAAACTCCACAAGTGCATCCATCTGGTTTTGAAGAGCAGGCACGGTTTGTAACAACTGAAAATACAGAAAACTGATATTTAGCTTCGTTACTGAACAACTCATCACCCCTACGTTACTTTCTTATTGCCCAAAAAAATCCACTTACTCAAAAGTTAAGAAATGGCTTTCTAATATTCTTAATTAAACTTAATAATTAAAAGAAACTGTCTTTGAAAAAGGAAAGTACAGTAGGTTGAGTAGATCACTTACTAACTTATATGTGGAAAAAAAACCCCCAAAACATTAAATCAAATCAAATGACTGAAGAGACTGTTTGTTTTATATTTTATCCTGACTTTACTTCCTGAAATTGAGTGCCTAGTGATGTACTTTACATTTACGAGATTTCCCATTCATGGTCTGACACATATTTTCTACTACCTTTTGTTTGTATTTGTTTCTGTGTGTACCTAACTAGACCACAAACCTTACAAAATCATGTATTTGTTTCTCTGTGTACCTAACCACACGACAAACCTTACGAAATCACGTACTTGTTTCTCTGTGTACCTAACCACACCACAAACCTTACGAAATCACGTATTTGTGTGTACCTAACCACACCACAAACCTTACAAAAATCACGTATTTATTTCTGTGTGTACCTAACCACACCACAAACCTTACGAAATCAGAAGAACTTGAGTAATTTTTCCTTAGAGTTATCTCTGAAAAACTTTGACAAGCTCCATTTAAATATCTTAGTTAAAATTTATTTCAATTTCCTGTTTTTTTCTGGATGTATATACTATACTTTATTCTTGTATTCTCAGAGAAAGTTTCACAGTATTACAAAACAGAGGAAGATATCTTTATTTATCTAGCAAGTCACACAAACCAAAGCAAAAACTGAAAGAAATTATAAGAAACGTTCCTACAAAAACTTACACTGAGATTAAACATATTAACTTTATTAGAAAATCTAAGGATTCAACTTTTCATACTGCTAAAATTATTACAATAAGAGTAATTTATTGGGTGTTTCTAGATAAATTCTGCACAATTTTATTCACATATCTTTATTGGATATTTTTAGCTAAGTTCTATATAATTTTACTAACAATAAATTATGTCTATTGGGTGTTTCTAACTAAATTCTGTACAAGTTTACTAACAATAAATTATGTCTGAAGTCAGTCCAATTATTTTTTTAACAAGCTAATAAAAGAATACAAAAACTTAGAAATATCTGCCTTAAACCAATCCTTGAGCAATATTAACCAGGTTGCTGTTATAGCACCATTACTGACAATTTTCAATATCAATGAAATTTGGTGTCTTTATGTTACAGTGTCCAAAATATGTAGAGAAACTTGAGATCATCACGGCAGTTATTAGTTTTCTTGTAAATCAACAGTACAATACCGAATTTTGTTCTTTCAAATGTTGCAAGTCATTTTTTACAGTCTATGCACATTTACTAATGATAAACAATGAAAATTGGGTTTTAACCAATAAAAGTCATAACTCACATTAAACAACAAAGTTACATACCTTTTCAGTGCTCATGGACCTTAATTTTCCATCTTCTTTCCTACAATAAACATTGGAAACTGAAGTTAGGGCAAAGCATCCACAAAATTAAATAACCATGACTATATTATCTGGTGAGAACATTACCAAGCATATTCATTTGGTTGGTTTGAAATTTGCATAAAACTACTCGACGAATATCTGCTAGCTGTCCCTAATTCACCAGTGACAGACCAGTGGGAAGGCAGCTATTCAACACCACCAACTCTTGGATTACTCTTTTGCCAACAAATATTGGGATTGACCATTACATTATAATGGCCCCATGGCTGAAAGAGCAAGCATGTTCTGGGATTCAAACTTGGGAACTACAGAGTCAAGAGCATGTTCAAAACTACATTAAAAAATAATAGTTTTAATTACTGTAAATAAAGTCTGATGCATTATGAATGGATAACACTAAAAAATTATAGATTTTATTACTGTAAATAAAGTCTGGTGCATTATGAATGGATAACACTAAAAAATTATAGATTTTATTACTGTAAATAAAGTCTGATGCATTATGAATAGTAACTCCAAAGCTGTTTTAAAACCAAGTCAGTAAAGGTATATAATTCAGTAACTAGAATATAACATGTAACCAATCTACTAAGTAAATATTCCCTTATTTCAACTCCTGTAACCATATCTTCATCAGAAATCTAACATTGCATCCCTGAACATTTTATTTTGACGTCCAACCTGTATCACTTCTCTCCATCACTACTTGACTCCATAAGATCTCAACCAATCTTTCTACAGCTAAAGTCTCTCATTATTATTGTTAATAGTAACGACCGTGATCTTATTATACAACTTATCATCTGTTCACTAGGTGGCTTATATACTAATTATAAACTATTCATCCTTATAATTCTCATTATATCACAGTCTTCCATTTGAACTTGATATATTAAATCTTTTTTTATTCTTAACTATCCTATCAGTTTGGTTATTCCAAAATTCCCTCACCTCTGTACAAGTTTATACTTTCTTAATAAAATTATTTAAAACTTCCCCGAACATCCTGCTATCTAGTCTTCTTAAACATACAAGTCTTACTTATCTTGAAAAATTAAACAGGACTAACCAGGCCACTGTTGTTCTGAGCATATCCCTAATAAACTTTTATTGAAGTCTAGGACCCAACTAAGCAGTTCTTCCTGTGTATAGCCCAAGGATCCAGGAGGATCACAAACCAATTTCTATTTTCAAACCTCTGAAAAGGTTTTTTTTAAGCAGCTCTTCTGATTCACAATTTCCAACATCATGCGCTACAAAAAATTTGCCCCCCTTCGTACCAGCAGTTATTACTAAACACTATAATATCCTGTATTTTAATTATTGTCCTAGTATTTATATTCTCCCTATTGCCCCCCTTCGTACCAGCAGTTATTACTAAACACTATAATATCCTGTATTTTAATTATTGTCCTAGTATTTATATTCTCCCTATTGC